CACATTGGTTAGATCAGGGTGACAACTAAAGCTCAGGGCTTAACTTGCTTGTCAGTCTGGAAGTCATTACTCTTACATCTCCATTTTTTTATCCCACATTTCAGTCAGTGGTCATTTCTCTGCTTGCTAGGATTTCTCTGTCTTTACTCAAAGAATAATATTGCCTTTCTAAATTTTTGTACAGACTATTGTTAACTTTTCCTTGAAGTCTGTATTTCAGTTTGATAAAAGCTATGACTTCTTAAAATACATTCTTTGTCTCATTAGTGTTTCAAATAGGCTATTACAAGTCAGTGTAAACTTTCTTTACAATAGACATGTTTATTCCAAAGTTTCATAGTTTCAAAAAATTATTTGAATCTGTTCTTATAAAGTGACAATATGATTTCAAATATTCTTTCTGCTCTGAAAACCCTGATAGGATTTCCACCCCAAATTAGCTACTACTGTCTACCCTCTTTTTCATCAAAAAGTTCAACTACAGGCCTGAAGATGTCATGGTTCCCAATTGTAACACACATGTTAACTTTCATCATTTGCTATGAATGATAGTGTAAAAATTGTTTTTAAGTTTGTGTGTATATATGTGTGTATCTGTATCTGTGTTATATAGCACTATTATACATGGGCAAGGAAACTTAGAATTTGAGAAATTACAGAGGAACTTATAGAATACAATCCAGATTAAGAAACTTAAGCAATTTCCCAAGATTACACATGAGATCACCATAGCTTGGAAATGAAAGTTTTAGTTCGTTAACTCATAATTCATTATGATCCCTTTCAGCTTGGCAAAGTCTCATTCTACCTTTCTCATTTTTCCGTTGCAACTTGCAATGAGATGAAAAACTATATCTAACATACAACCACTAATCAGTCTGCCTGTATTTGTCTGTATTTAGTGGGAGAAAGAAGCATGATTTATAAATAAACTAATAAAGTCTTCATGGTATGCTTTATGACATTTATGCCTCACTGTTATTTCAGTGTTTTAAAAACTGAACTCCTCATTTTATTTTCATATAACTCATATCAGATACAGGCAGCCTATTATTGTTTTATGAATTTCACTTATCATTTAAGTAGAAACATAATATAGAAGTAAAACATTTTGAAGTCATAAAATTCACTATAGAATATTTTCAAAATCTATTATAGGTGCCCCAACTTCTCTAATACAAAGAAAATTGACAGAAATAACCCAAGCATGAATCAAGTTTCAAATAAAAATGAATTTTTTGAATTTTGTTGCCCTGAGAAGAATCACTTACCTCATCCTTATTAGTAAAATAGGTATGATACAATTCCTTCTCTTACAGCATTTATGTAAATAATAGGAGCAGATAGCTATCATCCATAGAAGGTATAACTCAAAAATCAACCATATATCAGTAAATATGAGCAACATACATTATAAGCATATAGAAAATATCTTATGAAACTCATTATTTTGTACAATCAATATACATTGATAGCAGAAAAGTCCATCAATGTAATATTTGTATTTCAAAATCCCTTTGGTGGTGGCTAAAAGTTCGCAGTGAGTCTTCAGGTAAATATAAGACATTTTTGTATTCATGATGAAAATCATTCAGATGATTAATGATGTCCAAAGAGTCATGCCCTGAAGAATGTGCTTTCTAAACAATGTGATTCAGAGTCAGGTTGGGATTTAGAGGCCAGCACAAGAGGAACTTGAGAGAATTATACAGATTGGGCAAACCCTGGAGATTTCCCCTGTGAGAATAGTTGAAGAATTCTCATCCAGTTTTCCCAGAGAAGAGACAATTAGTCTGCCTGCAGGAATAAAAAGTGTTGGTATATTTTTAAATGAAAGATTTTAAGTAATAATTGAAATTATGTACATTAGTGTGGTAGAAACTGCAGCCAGCCTACCCAAGACACAGTCATCTTGCTCCATCCTGTTTCCAGGCCAGCCTGACCCAGAGACACCAATGAGGAAATGACAATGTAACAGACTCAGCCACCTGAGTCAACAGGACCTTGGGAAGGGGTATAAAGGAAGGTATAGCTGACTTAATAAATGAGTCCGCAGCATGCTCTGCTACTCACTGACTCCCAGTGCCTGGGTCCTTGGTGCTGCATCTTCTCACCCCCTTCCCCAAGGAGTGTCTGAGTAGGGTAACCTGCAACAAATTAGTAAGGAATCCGGAGATCTTTCTTTTCTCCTTTTCCTACGTTTCATTAAATTTGTTCTTTGACAACCTCATTCTTGTATATTACTAAGTCTTATTACTCTCATCCCATCCTAGCTAGTCTCCCTTCACCTTCACAAAAGTCCATCAGTCACACTCATGACTTTGGGGATTCCTTGAGTTTAACCAGTACTACACAAGTTGCCTAAGATTTTTTAACTATCTATTGGTTCCTGGTTCGACTCACCAGTGGGTACACAAATGAAGAATATGATTGTCTCTCCCCAAGATTCCAGAAATAGCCTATGGCTCAGGGAAGCATAAAGTTCTATGAGTCCCTCCTCTAGCCATACTGATTTTGACAGGACCAGTTCAGTGTGAGAAATTTCAGGAAGCAACAGCTATTGTAAAATCATAATTACAAAGGCTGTCTCATACTCTGATGACATTATGCAGCTCTTTTCCATATTTTCTGGTACTCATATACTTTCTGCCTCCTTCTCTGTGATGTTCTCTGAGCCTTTGAGTGAGTGGCATAAATGCCTCCTTTAGATCTGAAAGCCCAACATCACTTATTCTTAGCAAGCTGAGCAGCCAAGTGTCTCCTTATACAACATCATAGTACAAAGTTTTATGTATTGTTGTTACAAATTATTCTGGTTTAGTCAATCAAAGGTTGTGGGTTTCCTTCCAACACACGTAACTTAATGAGCAATGAGTAGTTATATAGGTTTCCAGTATCAGGAATGGTATTTCTCGTTGACTGAGTCTCAAGTATAATTAGAGAACTGTTGGTTACTACCAAGGTATTCTTGCCACTATTGAACATTCAGGGTTAATATACAATGTTACTGTTTTATGTGGTTCATAGACATCGTATTGGGTAGAATTCTTGGTCTTCAGCCTTTGGAAAGTTGTATGACGCCTTCTGTTATAATGAAATTCAGGTTAGTTTCAGATTAGGCGTTTGTGGGCTCTATTTCTGAAGTGCATGGTGTCTTCAGCAACAGTTACTCTCCTTCCACCACTGGGGAGCAATGAAGGTCAACAACAACAGACTATATTGTTTGGGAATCTCTTAAATATCCCTGTCCAACAATCAAAAGAAGGCTTTTTATGTCTAGTATTAATGCTTTTGTTAGGTGCTCTTGGCTCTTAGAGGAATCATTGTCAATGCAATATGATAAAAGTTTTTTTGACTATACATGCATATATATAGTGTATAATTATGTGTATTATAGTGTTTGTTTGGGTAAATAGTTAATAGTATGATTCCTTGTGACTTTTTCAGAATTCTTAATTCTTATCTTATACACACCCCTGTTTCTTCACTATTTCTCTCCATATTCCTCTAGAGAGTCCCCCTTTTACCACTTTCCATATGAGTTCACTTGGATCCTGCTATTCTCCTTCATTCACTTCCCATGAAGACTGAAACCCATAATTAATCCAAATGAACAGTTGAGAAGTCCTGTCCCAGTAGCTACATCTACAAAACACTCATGTACTTAAGTATTGAGGAACATTCCTATAGAAGATGCAAAACGATTGCAGGAGATAGAGACTCAGGGAGTTTGCTATGAGATTCTGTCTCCTTCTGTCAAAACTTACATCCATGAAGTGTCAACTACATGATTGGCCAAACATGAGCTGAAAAAGGAAGACACCAATGGACATAAAAAAGTGGACAGGGAAAAGTCTATAATGCCTCAAGCCTACACAAAGAACTATAGGCAACTGAGAAAAGCTGGGAGCATAATTTGTTTTCTCCAGAGAAGAGCCATTCATGAGACATTCAGCATGAAGACATCAGCCCTGAAAACATGCAAACAAGTAACATTACATGTACTGAACTGGTGCATTTAGGGATATATGCATATATATGTACATGTGTGAATGAAATAACAATTAGTAGAATAATGGGGATGAATTTGCAGGAGACTAGAGAAGTGTATATTGAAGAACTTCTGTTTGTACAGTAAACACTTTTCCCACTGAGTCATCTCCCAACCTTTGCAGATTTATTTTGCTATAGGTTTATAGGACTAGGAAAGATAGTAAGACCTGTATTGAACCATCTCTATGATAAACAGTCAGGAAATATAGTTGAATGATTCAACTGAATACCTGATAATGAGGAAGGAAAATTTAATTCTTGGAGGCTGACAAGATTAGAGAATAAGGGAGAGGAAAGGAGATAAATATCACTCAATAACAAATTTAAAGAAAGATGTAGCTCCTTTTTTCATAACTCAATTTTATTCAGGTGAGCCCTCCAAGGATTATATGAGGAGGAAAACTGATATTTTTAAAGTAAGTCTTCTTATTTCAAGCAGCACTTTTAAAATACAACCTCATACTCTAGCCATTAAACAAACATTAAATATTTATTGTGTTCCTTTGGATATCCCTATGAAATGAGCACCATTAAATAACACAAAGGTTAACATGTAACACAAATCCGGGTTACATTTTAGTCTGAAAATTTTCTGACATCCATTTGTATCATACATCTTCACAAGAAAATTATGAGCGTGTCTTCTCTTTGACTGGCTTCTATATGCACCTGCATACATAGATTTCTATTGATGTGACAGAAAAAATCACAAGAAAATTGATTGAATATGATAATGTAGTCATTTGTGTTTTTCACAAGGCATTCACATTTTACTCTTCTGAAAAAGATGTTATTTTTTCACCACTAATGTATCACTGCAGAGGAGATGTCGCTTCAAGTTCTTGGATTCAGTGTGGTGAGGAAAATGTGATCCAGTATAGAGTTAAGATAAGAAAAGTGATTCCAAATGGTATGCATGCCAAAAAGTTAAAAGGAAAGCTGTGACATTATTTCGACCTCAATGCAATCTTTGTGAATGCAGTCTTCACCTCTTTATTCCTTAGACTGTAGACCAGAGGGTTCAACATGGGGATGATCATAGTATAGAAGACAGATGCAATTTTATCAGTATCCATGGAGTGATGGGAGCTAGGCTGCAAGTACATGAATATGACTGTCCCATAGAAGATGGAAACAGCTGTGAAGTGGGAGGCACAAGTGGAGAGAGCTTTTTGATACCCTGCAACTGAGTGCATCTTTAGTATGTTGATGAAAATGAACATGTAGGATATACTGATAAGTATAAGAGCAAAAAAGATATTAAAGCTGGCTACATAAATAAGAACCAGTTCATTGGCATGTCTATCAGAACAAGATACAGTCATTACTGCTGGAATGTCACAGAAAAAATGATGGACCACATTTATCTCACAGAAGGAGAGACTTAATGCATTCACAGTATAGATGGAAGCATTAAATAAACCACAGATATAACTGCAAATGACTAAATATGCACACACACCTGTTGTCATGGTGGTGACATAGTGTAGGGGCCTACACACTGCTGCATTGCGATCATAAGCCATTGAGACCAAAAGGTAGTTTTCAACATTAGCAAAGGTTGCAAAAAAGAACATCTGAGAGGTGCATGCATTGTAGGACATGATCTTGTCTCCTGAAAGGAATCCAGCTATGACCTTTGGAGTGACTGTTGAAGAATAACAAAAATCCACTAAGGACATGTTACTGAGGAATGTGTACATAGGGGTGTGGAGCCGAGAGTCAAAGACAATCAGCAGAAACATTCCCAAGTTGCCCACCAGGGTGATGGTGTAGATGAGGAGGAAAGTAATGAAGAGGGGAAGCTGAAGATGTGGGTCATTGGTGAGTCCCAGCAGGATGAACCATGTCACTTCTGTCTTGTTCTCCATCAATGATATCAGTTCATCAACAGAAGGCTTTAAACAATTTCTTTTAAAAAGAGTAGAATAAGGGGCTAGAGAAATGGTTCAGCACTTACAAGCACTGGCCTTCTATTCCAAAGCACTCAGCATCCACCCAGCCACTCACAACCATCTATAACTCCAATGCCAGGGAATCTGACACCATCTTCTGGCCACCTCAGGAATGAGCCACACATTGAGCACAGACATACATGTAGGCAAAGCTCTCATACATATGAAATATTTTTTAATTAAGAATAGGATAATAAAGAAATTAGAATCTGTGGAATGTTATTTATTTTCTACCCAAAATAAAAATTATACATATATATTAAGTAGTTTAATAATCATATGAAATTTTTTTATTTTAACATATTTATGTGCCAATTCATTTTTTCTGGCCTCTGTAAAAGTAACTACTGTGTTTCCCTGTCAAGTGCTACTATAGAAACAGCCTGTTCTCTGTCCATAATGTAGTGACTTTGACAAATTGTTACATCCATCTAAATTGTGAAGCACAGAGATATAAATTTTCTGCATATTTAAATAACATAATTACCAATTTCTCTTTTGGATCCAGGTAAACTTTACACCTATTGCAAGCTAATGATCTAAATAATTTAATTTAATTATAATGAATAATTGTTCTCCTCTGTTTAATCACAGTAATGTGAGTAGCACACTGCATGTTAATTTCATCTTGGTCACTATATACTTGCTCTCATTAAAGAACAAGCAAAGAGTGGACTGGTTTAACCCACAGAAACAGTGGACCTGAATAAGGGGGAGCTCTTGGACTCCAGATTGATGGCTCTGTGGAAAGCATGGGACTGACCAAGACCCCTTGAATGTGGGTGTCAATGAGGAGGCCTAGGTTAATCTATGGTGCCTTGGGTCGTATTTACCCCTGGCATGCAGATAGACTTTGAGGGCCCATACCACAATATGGGAGGTTCTCTCAGCCAGGACTCTTGGGGGGGAGGGCCTAGGCCCTGCCTTGGATGAAATGACAGTTACCTGAGATCCATCATGGAGGGCCTCACCCTCCTTGGTGATCAGAGTGGAGATTGGGTGGAGGACTGGGGGACCTGGTGGGGAGAGCAGGGGAGGAGGCTAGGGAGAGGGAGCTGGGATTGACATGTGAAACAAGATTGTTTCTAACCTAAAATAAATAAACAAAGAAACAAACAAAAACCAGGCAAAGATGGTTGTTCTGTGTTTATGGAAGAAAGGAAAAAACCAAGGTACTCAAACCTGAATTACAAAATATCTAAAAACAAAAATTCAAATGTATAAAGTTACTGGTAATTGTTGGGAATCTCACTAGTTACTGTATGTTAGTGAGAAGTAGAGAGTCCCTTCTTCAGGTTCTTGTCTCCTTAGTAAAAGAATTTAAGAACAAATTCAAATGGAAGCTTGAGGACGATTTTATTAGGGTTTAAATAAAAGTCCCAGGGACAACCTGTAAATCTTGGCAGCTAAAAAAAAATCAAGCTAATGAGTACTCCCTGACTGTGTAATGTTTCTTCTGAATACTAAGAGATTCTGAATGAAGTAATGAGCTTGAATTGATTTTAATATGCGCATCTAGATACATTGATAAAGGTATAACCGGAAGGATAAAGGTATGATTATCTCAAAGAAGGCTTTATGTTGAATCAATATTGCTCAACAATGTACATACTAGATTTGCAGGATAAGTGTTTGATCTTAGAAGCAGTTCGAAATGAAGAAATATCATTAACTAAGACAGAGAGTTCAAGTTCTTGGAAGAAATACATACTAGATCAGCCACTAGCTGGAAAGCACCTAATTCGTCTAAGCACCATATTGTTATCTACAAAAGGAGCTAGTAATAAGGCCTACTTGGGTTTTTATTGGGAAAGTATAGTATATCAAAGGCAAGAAAATGCTGGTTGCTGAGGAAGGTTGCTGAGTACTACTGGCCATGTTGTCATTACTAGCTGATAATAGCATACAGGGCTTTAGTTCTGGGTAAGTTTTTGTCTTTAAATTTTTCTCTTCAAATTGCCTTTTCTTCATTTGGGACCCTGAGAATGCCTGTGCTTTCTCAGGAATCTGTTTTATTCTAAGAATATCAGTGTTAGTCATGCAACATTCCTGTCAAAATTTTCATTCTTGTAATCCTTAATTTTATATAATACTTTCCTCTTTTGTTAATTTTCAGTTTTATTTTTCTAGGGATATCATCCCACAGTAAGAATAGAAGACATGGAGCCCATGTTCCTAGTGTATGGACACTGTTTATCTCATAGACAAATTGTTCTTATAGTATAATGATACTTAAACTTTCCTGTTTGGCTTGGTATATTTGGAAGGATACTCACTCTAACAATTAGTTCCTATTGTCGTTTTCTCAAGCCTTTGGCAACTTTAACTATGTATGTATACAATGAAAACATTTTCATTTCCAATACATATCATGTGATAACTTTTAGCATTTGCTGTAATGCCTACAAATATAGTGTGTGTGTCTGTGTTCTTGTGTGTATGTGTGTGTGTGTCTGTGTGTGTGTGTGTGTGTAAAGTAGAATAGGAAGCACTATTTCTTACTTTATTTGTAAGAAAACCTTTGATCTAAGAAGTTTCATGGTAATCTCAATTTTTGTAAGTGATAGAAAAAACACTCAAGGTGTAAGAGTTAAAATTCCATCCAACAGTGAATATGAACTCATGGCATAAAGGTAGAAATGTGGTTAAAGTATATTCATTTATTTCTATCCCTTAATTAGTGTGAAAAAAATTATTTTATTCTCTGTCTTTTGTGACTGTTTCTTAATCTACAATCAAATCAAATATATAGTGTACAAAATAGAGTTACATCAACCAAATTACATTTTATATTCCTTCTGAGAATAGCTCATAAAATCATTAAATATCCTGTAGTATTTTGACAACTATACATATACTCAACATTTCAAAACTAAGTTTAGAAGAATAGCTCTTAGCCTTTAAACTGTTTTAGCTCGCAAAACAATTTTTAAACAACTGTTTTCAAGTAATTCATAGTAGATATATAGAGTCCATGTCTTTTTAAGGAATTATACTTCTGGCTAAGATGCTAATGAAATATAGGTAGTCAGTTTTTAGGATGGATTTTTTTGCATAGAATTGTCACTCTAAAATCTTAAAACTTCACTATGTGGTATTTCACAATCCTCTTTGAGGAACTTGCTCTGGGAAAGTGATCAATGTATAAATCCTGTCTAAGGAAAGAATGGAAGGAAGGAACTGCACAGATCAAGTTCTTAATTCATCATGCATTACTTTTCTTCCCATAGAAAAGTCACTTACCTCCTTATTGGGAATGCATACTACAGGAAAACCAGGCAAGATTACTCCTCTTCCAAAGTTAACAAGTTGTATCTGTACATAATAGAGAAGACTGTAAGGAAACCCATGAAGAACTTGCCAGGTAAGAGTCAGTTGATATGAATTTTATGTTTGAGTGTTTTCATTCAGTTTGCTTAAAGGCCTATAGTTGATCTTCATGTGAGTCAGAGGACCTGCATGTGTTAACAATGACTGTCATTCAGAAAATAAACAGCATCTAATAAATAATGACATGCAGTGTGCCTCTGGTGAGCCACAATGGGATTTCAAAGGCTAGTTCATGGAGATGTGGGGAGAAATACAGACACTCAGAGAGCTCAGGATGTTCCCCCCAGATTGTATATGAAGATCCTCATCCTGTCTTCTCAGGAGAAAAACAATTAACCAGCCTTAGGGACCAAACTAGTTTGTATCTTAGAAGTTAAATTTCCTTTTTAATGGATAAATGAAAACACAAAAGTCATACATATTAATAAGATACCATGCAGTATTTCTACACATAATGTATATTGTAAAAGTTTAAGTTAAGCATTATATCCGTGTGGTGAACATTTTCAAAATCCTTCCTTCTATCTTTTTCTTTTCCTTTCTTCTAGAATTTTCTTTTCATTTCTACTAGTCTTTCCAAAAACATAATACATTATTGTTACCTACAGTAACCCTTGTGCCCAATATTACATCTCAGCTTCTTGTTCCTAGTCAACTGTAACTTGCTATAATACCTAATGATCCTTTATAATTCTTTTATGTACTGGCCCTTATATTAATCTACAAAAATTATGTGTCACATTTTAAAAATATGTCTACTTATTTCTATTTATGACTAATTAATTTTAAAACTTTTTATTACATTTATGCGCTATTTATGTATTTATTTACTCACTTCACTACAGGTAATTCAAGGCTGCAGAAAACTGAAGGAGCTTCTTCATATTAATCACAATCAAGAGCATAGAACAATGAATTAATGCTGTATGTTAATGATCATCTCACTTGCTCCATTCTTACAAAGTCTGGTATCTCCTGCCCAGAGAAGGATGCCACCCAAAGGCCTTCCAGTAAATCAAGACAATCCCCCACAGACATTCATAGATCAGTCTATTCTAGATTATACCTTACTGAGACTCTGCTGGTGACCCTAGATTCTGTTAAGTTACCAAAATATTGTATTTCTTTATCTGATTTTGGTATTAAGACAAATCTAGTTCCATAGGATTTTTGACAGAATTTCTTTCCCATCTTTGGGTTTTTTATATTTAAATAAAGCATTTTAAGTGTGTTGAAAATAGAAAACAGAAAATTCATTAAAATATAGTTATAGACATCACACCCTCAGCTCTCCCTAGACATGCTGTACCCTGCTTCAGGTGAGCTTGGATCCTCCTGGGGACCCAACCTCTGCCCATCATCCCCTCCCTCTATCTTCCTGGGCCTGTTCCTGGAATCAAGTGGTCCCACCCAGACAGAAAGTATCTGAGTCTTGCCACACCCAACCCTCAGTTATTCCCACATCCACCAAGCTCTGATTCAGGCAGGAAGGAGGAGATTTCTGCCATACCCCACTTTTGGCACCCCTCTGCCCACCAAGCTCTGCATAAGTGTGGAGAATATCAGGAGAAACCAGACCATCAAAAGTT